CGAGGGCCTAGGCGCTGCAACCGTCCCAACCACTCACTTGCAAGTATTTGTCGTGACCTTTCACCCTGTTCATTTGCCAGCAGGCCCAATTACAGCTTATTTGATGAAATGCGTTGACTGATGTGGGCCGGGGGGGCGGGTCCTGGGATAGCAGTGACACAAGAGTGGGGGGATTTTTTGTTGGCCCAACTTGTTGATGGGAAAGTTGACTTTTGTGACCCATGACCTCCCTCTATGGACCCTGAGAATGACCCCATCCCCCTAGAGCCAGGAGAGAACCCAGGCGTCCTGGCTCCCAGCCCCCCCTGCTCTGACCACTAGGCACAGGATTGCCGTGTTTGCTCTGTAAATCTCTGGGCTGGGCCTTCGGGAACAAGCCCAGGGAACGAGCGTGGGGCTGGCCCGGCCCCGCCGGCCGGGCGCGCTGGGGCGAGGAGCGGGAACCGCAACCAACAAGGGCTTGGGGCCAGACGCAGCCGCGGGCCTCAGAAATTCCTTCCGTCAAAGGGTGGACGAGTCTGCGACGGCCCGGAGACGGTGCTTTTCTGCAGTGGTCTGGGCTGGCTATCATACCATTAGGGGGAGCTGTGCTCGGGGCGGGGGGAGCTTTCAGACGTGCCCTGGCCGAATCGCAGCCCAGAAAGTGGGGACTTCCTCCTGGACTGCCCCATCCTTAAGCCCCTCTGTTTTCAGTGTACCGAGGAAGCACCCGCCCGCCCGCCCCTGCACACATATAAGTCTGCCCCAGTAAACGCTCGACCACTGAAAAGTTTTCACTGGGGAGCAGAGCCGGAGCGAGGACGCGTTGTGTTTTGAGTGCTGGTTTAGTTCGGCAGCAAACCGCATTGAGGAACAGAATTCAGAGTATTCATCTGCTGGGTGCTTCCCCCGACCCGTCGTTCCGTCCAGCAAAATCAACATGATTCATCTTTTTTGCATTGATTTTCACCCGGTTTTGTTGTGCTGGTGATGAACAACATGGATAAATTCCCGGGGGAAATGAAATCAAAGAAACACAGAAAACAAAGGGCCCTACACATCCAGCTCTTCCAGGGTGCTGGCTAAGTCCCCGTGCCCCTCCCCAGAGGCAGCCGCATCCCAGCACCAGGGGAGGGGTCCCCATATAACCAGCCCCCTGCCCCACCCCAGAGGTGAGGCCCTGAGCAAACTTGAGGATGAGGGGGGGCAATGCCTGGCCTGATGGGCAGGGACTAGCTGGCGCAGGGGGCTGGAAATGGGACACGGGGCCTCTCCCCTCTAGGGGGTGCCGGCTCCCATCCGGCCCCAGGGCAGGGACTGGCTGGCTCAGGGGGGCAGGGGATGGGACCTGGGGCCTGTCCCCTCTAGCGGGCACCAGCTCTGATCTGGCCCCAATCTGCTGTTATCAATAATTATTGATTATTATCCATAGCTGGTTTCTAATCATTGCTAATTGCTTAGTTCTCCGAATGTTATTAACAGTGACCTGCTAATGATCACTGGTTGCTCCTAACTGTTAATTACTCACATATCCATAATGACTGGTTAAATGTTAGTAAAGGAAGTATATTAATGATTTGCAGTAGGTGCTAATTAGCCACCGGTCGTTAATCACAATCCCGGATACTGGATTACTAAAGTGCCACCGGGCTAAACGGACAAAGAAAGAGAAGCCGTGAGGGGCAAAAAGGCGTCTTTTACAGTGGAAGATAAATCGTAGTGAGGAAAATCGAACGGAGCGTAAGCTCTGGCAAAGGAAGTGTAAAAATGTAACTAGGAAGGCCAAAAAAGATTTTGAAGAACAACTCACCAAAGACATTTTGTAAGTAGATCAGAGGCCGGGACTGGGCTCTTTGGCAATCTGGAGAAATTGATTACCTGGTGTGACAAAGGGGGAGGGGGGAGTTTTCACAATATTTTGGATGAAAATCGTGCGTGCCTCAGTTTCCCCCCCGACACACACCCTCCCGTGCTGCACATTTAACCAGGTGGCGGGAGAGGGTTGTTGACTGTCCGCAGAGTCTCAGTGGCTGCTGCGATGGGCCAGACAGCTGGGGTCTAGCAACTAACAGCCCGGGACCCATATCCCACCGCCGGCCGAGAGTCACTGACGGCTCAGCTGTGGGGGCATCCCTCCCGGGGGATGAGCTTCTCCCCCAGGGGTCCCATCCAGGGGCACTCGCTGCAGGAGGCTCCCGGTTAAACCTGGGGGGGGGGGGCTGCAGGCTCCCAGGAGGCAGGGAAGCGGAGGTGTGTTTGTGACCCCTAAGGGGGCTGCTGCATGGCAGGGGTCCCCCCGGGGGGCTGTTCCAGAGCCAGGCGAGAGCACCTGGCCCGGTGAAGCTGTGACGTATGGTATTAGGTGGGAAGCCGGGGGGGGGGGGGTTGCAGGGTTGGGAGTGAGGGGCACCGGCAGGGCTTGGGGGGAGAGCTGGGCTAGCAGGGGGCTGCGGGGCGGGAGTGAGAGGCACCGGCAGGGCTGTGGGGGTCAGGGCTGGGCTAGCGGGGGCTGTGGGGCGGGAGTGAGGGGCACCAGCAGGGCTGGAGGGAGCCCAGGGCAGGGTTAGTAGGGGGGCTACGGGTCAAGAGTGAGGGACATCGGTAGAGTTGGGGGGGACCCCAGGTTTGGGATAGCCCCCCCGTGTCTCCCAGGGGCATCAGGGTCAGGCCTGACAGCCAGGGGACAGCGCCCCCTGCTGGGCCCCCACCCTGCCCCACCCCCTGTAACTCAGCGCCCCCTGCTGACCCCCCGCCCCAACCCTGTTGATTTCCGGCCTCTGATCGATGAGGAAAGTGGGTGAATTCTCCTGTTGCCAAGGCAACAAAGTATCAACTTCAAGCGTTGCTATGACGCCGGGCAATTTCCCCATCTCGTTCCCATGGCGCCGGCGTTGCCCTGGTGCGACTCACGCCAGATCATCTGGTCTGCTGCGAGTCCAGCTCTGCGAGGGGAGCGGGGGCTAGTGGTTAGAGCTGGGGAGGGGCTGGGAGCCAGGACTCCTGGGTTCTCTCCCCGGCTCTGGGAGGGGATTGGGGTCTAGTGGTTAGAGCTGGGGAGGGGCTGGGAGCCAGGACTCCTGGGTTCTCTCCCTGGCTCTGGGAGGGGTCTGGGGACTAGTGGTTAGAGCAGGGGGGCTGGGGGCCAGGACTCCTGGGTTCTCTCCCTGTCTCAGGCTGGGGAGTGGGGTCTAGGGGCTTGTTGGAGCTGGGAGCTGGGACGCCTCGCTTTGCAATGCCTAAGGCCGAAGTTGCCCTTCTCTCCTGCAGGGGGCAGCATCGACCCTTCCCCGGCCCCCCACATGCCCTGCGTTTGTTTATACGCTTCACAAAGCCCCGCTCCGCCCCCCGCCCCCGCACACAGGGCGAAGGGGGAGGGGCGATTCCTCTCCCATCACCCCCGCAGGCATCTATTAGTGTAGAAGGGTTAAAGCCAGGTACACACACGTGTGTGTATGTGTGTCTGTGACGTTATTGACATAAACTGGGACCATATAGATCATTGTTGCAACCAAAGTCCTGTAGTGGCACCCAAATCTGGTGTAAAGGGGGTCAAATGGAGTGTCTAGGACAAGGTTATGGTTTACTGGTTATGATTATGCTGTCTATATGTATGTATCAGTTTTGTAGTCGAAGTTATGAATATTGGCTCTATACTGTCTGTATGGCAAACTTATGGTATGCTCCTGTGTAATATCCCAGACAAGCTGATATTAGCTCTGCCTAGCCTGCTTGATGGCCCATTAAGGACCATCAGCTATACAATGGGCCTAGTGAGAGAAGATGGCTAGGGCCTGCCCTGCCGCCCAATTCCCCCCAGCTCTCAGCCTT